CTAGACAAAGCTGGAAGAAGTGCTGAGCATTTCAGCTATAGCCACAGAAGCCATTTCTCTTGGTAACCTTTACAATCCCTGCAAGCGTTCACAGGCGGGGATGCACAGGGATGCAGCACTGCTGCAAATAGAAAAATGCACCCATTTGGTAAGTCTTACTTAGATGTCAGAGTACTTTGAATTTTGAAGCTGAAATAAACAGATTGAAATGACCCTATCGTTTATAATGGGATGGTAAAACAAAGCAGGACTTTACGATGGAGGCCCCAGTGTCAGAACTTCATTTGATTTTCTCTGATGACTCAACCTATTTCACAAGCTATGTTCATATTCCTTATTTAGAGAACTTACTCATGTCTCGGTAAAAGCCTACGATGTGATAAAGCCAAGGAACCATAATGTGTGGTACTGGTAACACCTCCCACGCCAAAAAAAATCCTACTTCCATATTTATGTGGCTCTGCAAATTGGTTCCTGCCTTTTTTTCCCCAGAGAGTGAGCTGGCAGCGTGTCTCCTGTCCAATTAGCATGAAGCCATGAAAAGTGGAATTGGAGGGTCAAATTCGCCAGGCCTGGAGCCTCACTTATTTTTGCCATGTTACAGACACATTTGGACCTTTGACTTCCCAGCAAGGCAAGTGTTGTTTTTAGCATACAAACACCAACGCCTGCAGAATACCTTGTTCGTTCAGGCTTTGTCTCCTGAAAAAAGCAGCTCACCACCAGAAGACAAGAAGCTACGAAGGCAAGAACCCACCTCCTGTTGCTCAGGGATGGGCACTTCAGTATAAACTCCCCATGGAGCAGGTGAATTTTACCTGGGTTTTACTGGCCAGGGTGTAATTTCTGCCTTTCGGAAAGTCCTTTAACCAGAGCAGCAGGAGAAGCCTTTGTAACCAGAATAGGCTGCAAACCACACCAACAAACGTATGGACTGAAAGAACACATAGGGACACTTAAGGACAAAACCCACCCATCCCACCCACCCACCCCCAGATCTCTTCACAATCTGATTTGCAACCATGTAAAGATGTGTATTTTTTGTGGCAGTTTTTGGAAGAGTTTGTTTGTCTTGAAGGCAGAAAAGAAAGGCAGCCTGTGCAAAGCAGAGAGAGGGGCTGAGCAACAGCACGCACGCTTGCAACATGACTGCTCTTTGCAAGCCTAAAAGCAAGGGACCAAAAGCTACGTGGCACAAGTCCTCTTCAGTCCCACACCAGGATCTGAAACAGCTCCTGAGTGACACCAAGGAGTTCAGGACATAAGGGTACATCAGGAGTGTCAGTGGAGAGAGATGCTCACATCCCAGGGCAGCACTGAACCAGCACTTCCATGGGCAGCAGTACCTGCAAAATCCCTTTTCTGTGATGTTTCCTCTCATTTTCTTTGGATTCAAGTATCATAAGGGATAAGCTCTAATCAAAGCTTTGCCTAAGGGTACAGCATTCGTGGCATCTTTCCCCCACTTGCGTTTTCTGACGGCTGAAAGAATCCTGCTATAGCCTTCCCCTTGCTGTTACAGCTGCATAGGTCTCTACTTTCCATCAGAACTTTGTTCTTGAGATTCCTATTCCTCTGCCAGGCTTCGCTGGCAGATGGACACAGGCACACTGAACCAGTGAATTCAGCCTCCATCACTGTCAGAACCCATCCTTCAGCTCTGACATTTCTCACGCACCTGCCTGATCTGGACTTCCATCCCTAGGAGTGAGCTACCCAAAACCAAGCCCATCCGGGCTATAAAAAGCCCTCTAAATCTTCCTTCCTACCCAATTTGGTAAATATGTGCTCAGCACACAAGCCACAAAACACTGTCAGAGCTGTTCCTTTCCCTAGGGATGGAGGTAGCTGTTGTGTGCTGGTGCTTGGAAGCAGAGAACCAGGGTTCCTGGCCTGCCCACATGGGTTCAGATTCACACGTCACATCTCCCAGGTAGGTGCCATGCTGATTTGACACACTCACCTTCACACGCTGGTGCTTGTGTCCTCAGCTCCTCCCTGCCTGTGGGAGCAGTGTGGGCAGGGAGGGAGGAGAGCACGTACTCTCACCCCAGAGCCCTGCGGTCGGATGTCTGTGCTGTCCCTTCAGAGTGGTTAGGAGCTGCCAAGCGGGGCAAGGGAAGAGCTGAGCTGGGGGCTGAGATCTTGCATTAGCACTGAAACAGCAAAGCAGGCACCAGCGCGAGCATAGGAGCACTGGGACCATGTCCCTCTGGGAGGCAGCATTTACATCCCACTGTGCCCTGGATGCTGGGGCCTGCAGGGAGGAGACGTGGGATGGGACTAGCCAAGTAGAGGGAAACCATGCCATGGGCAGGAGCACAAACCTCAAGCTGCTGTACCCAGGCACAACAGCCCCTCTTCAGGCTCCCGTGGGGCTCTGGCCCTCCATCCTTGCTGAATCCCAGCCCAGCTATCCACCAACACGCTGTGCTAAAGCCCAGGATCAGAACCCCTCTCCAAAACCAGAGCAGCTGCCTTCCCTCTCTGCTAAACACCCAGCTCCTCCGCCTGGCCTGTGATCTTTTCCAGCTGCTGTGGTCAAATCTGCCAAGGCCAGCAGTTCCTCCATTAACCCCTTCAGCCCGCTGCCTCGTGCTCTGCAGGTTCCCGTGGCAAACATCAGCTCTGTCGAGGGTTTCGTCTTCCTCATCCTTGAGAAACAAAGCTGGTCATTCCCCCAGAAGGGGATTTATGCCGTTTTAATGAGAGCTGTGGCTGCTCTGTTTCTGTTGAGGTTGTAGGTCTCTATGCTCAGGATGCGGCCCCTCTTGCTAAGCCTACCAGCCTTTCTGCTCCGGAGGGGCTTGTGGGGGCTGAGAAGCATTTCCACTGCAACTGGCCATAGGTTTCCAGACAGCACTTTCCAGAACAATCAGATCTCTTAGAAAATTAATTTATCCGCTCTTATTAGATCACTTACCTCACCTCCCCAGCTGCGGGTTCCCACGTTCAGGTTTCCCAAAGCCAGAGCCCAGGCAGGGCTGCTGCCATGTCCCTCTGACACAGGGAAGAAATCCAAAGCTCATCACCAACGACAGCTTCTCACCTGTGAGATTGGCTTCCCCAGGGGTAAGCAGTTACAAATGGATGAACCCCACAGGGCATAGACACTTTGTAACCCAGACATTTACCATAAATTTTTCAACTTGATAACTTGGAAATGCGGATTATAAACATGCTGCAAGTGATGAGCCAGAAAGAGCCTAAAAACTTCCAGCTGAAACGGGGTATGAAATGGCTCAGAGATGCTGGCACTTCAAATCAACTTTTTCATTAAAAAGAAAGTGAAAAGATGAGCATTGCCCACATGCCCCGGTCCCTGGCGTGATGCTCGCGGGTGGGTGCCACAGCGGGTGACACACCGCAGGGTGCCATGGGCCACCCACAAGCGTCACGCCAGCGATCAGGGCATGCAGCATCCCATGGCATGTACTCAGGAAGGAAGTGGGGGCCTTGCCTGTTTCAGATTTTCATCTTCAGCAAGATGGCAAATCTTATATAAAGCATGCATGAATCAAAACAGAAGTGCCTGCCTGGCTGCTGGGAAGTGACGCCACCATGACTCATGTCATTCTGTTTAAAACAATCCTCCCCCTCACCTTCTCCCCTCAGTAGAGATGCACCTTGGAGGCTTTCCGCATAGAACCCAGCGATGCTTACCTTCCTCTTCTACCTCCTTACACCACTTCTGGGCCATGGAGTTTTTCTCAGGTGAGCTTTCCTGCCACCTGAGGTCTGCCAAAGCACTTTTGCAGCTCACTCAAAGTACAACAAACAGCTTTCTTTTCATAGCATTTTTTTTTTCCTTTATTTTTTTTTTTTTTTTTTTTTTTTACACTCCATAAAAACCTTTGCAGGTTTTCTTTCACATTCATGAGATCTCCTGGAAATTATTGCCATTTCCCATACATATTACATATTTAAAAAAAAAAATAAAAAGGTCAACAGACAAAGAGAGCCACTCATTCTGAACTCCCTGCAAACACAGAAATCAATGTGTCCAGTTTTCATGAAGGAAGGCTGGCTAGAAGGTGACCACACACACTAAGCAAGCCACATAACACTGAACAAGACCACTTGACCACACACGATACATGTCGAGAACACTTGGGAGGGGTGGAAGAAGAGGTGGCTTGGAGTCGAGCTTGTCAGGGGGGTTTTTTGGTGTAAAATCCAGCAGTGTCATCTGATGGGAAGTAACTGGAATGAGGATTGTGGAGACATTCAAGTATTCTAGGGCTGTTCTTAAATAACAGACGTAAAGATAATAGCTCAGCAGGGTAGCCTGATAGCTTTAAGTCCCCTGCTTTAGTTAAAAGCACATCCAGTACAAAGGCAAATGCAGAAGTACAGGAAATGCCACACCTGAATGGATCCTTGGTCTGGTTTGGTATCCAGTTACACTGTGGTCAATACCTGACACTTCAGAGGCCGGAGCAGGAGAGGGGATTTTCACCTGGTTGTGTAACAGTGTCCTGGGGAAGGAGCTCCCTCCAGTGCCCCAGCCCTTTGCTCCCTGAAACACCACACAAGAGGGGAGGAGGAAAGCCGGATTAAAAGCAGAACGAATATTCACTCCCACCACCTCTGCCATTGCAAAGGTGGGGCTTCTCATTTTGCTTTCTTCCCTGCTGCTGCTGGTTATTGCTTGAAACTTTAAACGAGGGTCTTTTCAAAAATAAGAAGGGAAGGAGATGGGAACTGAGAACATATTAAATGGATTTCTCATTGCTCCCCAGGAATCTGAAAATACAGTAGTGGGTGCACACTGTGGATAAAAACCTAAAAAAGCACTTTCTTTTATTAAAAAAAGGACAATAAAATTTCAGAAAACCTGCCACACTTAGAGCACTTGTGTCTTACAGTCACAGCATACGGGAAGTATGACCCACAACAACTGCTGCGTTTCTGACTAAGTCAATGAGGTTTCTCTATTGCACTTTCATGAAATGTTCTTGTTGGGGTTACAGTCTGGATCAGAGGGCCACGCCAGTTCTGGTCTCCCCAGGGCGTTCAGCAGCATGAAGATGCTGTCATTGGGCTGAGTTTCAGCTGGTGGACAGGAGAGTGGATGGGCACAGAACTCAACACTGAGGTAGGAAAGGCAAAACATGAGCCTTCAAAGTTTTTGCCTAATGTCAGTTCTTCTGCAAAGAAAGATGCAGCTTCTCTTTTACATGAGGCGACGGGGGGGCTGGGAGTGGAAGACAAGATCTCCGACTCGTATTGCAGCAACTGGCCCATGAAACCAAAGTTTGGTGAGATCAGGCTCCGGCGCTGCTTGATGTAATCGAAGGCTTCCTCCAAGCGGAACTTCTTTGTCTTCATGAGGTACGCCATGCAGATGGTGGGAGAGCGTGAAATCCCTGCTTCACAGTGCACCAGGATCTTGCCCCCTGTTCGTCTGACATAATCTAGGGGAAAAAAAAGTCATTGCAGATGTCAGGTGTCATCAGGGATGGAGCGGACACTGTGACACGCACCCAGCGCTAGAGGTGGAACATGGCACACAGCCCGTCCCCCAGCAAGGAAAGGCTTGCTCTTCTGTTGGATACCAAGAGTAATATGGAGATTAAAAGAAGTGGGACAAACCCCAGCCTGAGGTGGAGCTGAGCTGCAGATGACACTTGGTTTCAGGGTCTATGGATCCTGATTTGGTTCTTTCTGCATTCTTTTAGGGAAGTCCTTCCCTGTCTCTTTCCCATGCGTGCACTTATTGCTCTTTTGGAACAACTGACTTTGCACAGCATTGTGAGACAGAGATCAGTTATCTGGGCAATGCTTGTGTTTGCTGTACCTGCATTTCTCTGCCTGTGGCTCAAAGGGCCAACCCAAGCCCAGCCTGGCCAGCCCTCCCACCATCAGGTCTCGCAAAGGTGAGAACTGCAGAGCTCCCTCCCTCTCATCAGCTTTGCCAGGAAAGAAGGACTTTTCTTCTAAGGCCAAATCTTGGCTGGTTAGCAGCAAAGGGCAGTACCAGGAGCTGAGCCCTTGGTGAGTACCCTTGGGTGGAGAGGCTGAGCTCACTCCCTTGGGGCCTCACCACACAAAGCACACAAGGACTGGTAGGCAGTTGCTAATTACAGCCTGGTTAAAGGATGCTTGGACTTAAGTCAGGATATAAAAGGCTTATGCAAAGCACCCATTTTACACAACAGGAGCCACTGTGGTTACTCACACAACACAATGATTGTTATTAGATTAAAGAGAATGTGCTTAAAATAAAGCCCTTTCCACACAAAAACACAGTTCAAAAATAGACGTTCTCTTCTCTATTGCCTTGAGCAATGTGCTCAAGCCCCAATTTATGGAGAACTGTGCTGAGTGTAGTGCTCAGTGCATGGCACCGAAACAACGGCAGAGCTGAGCAAGTTATCATTTGCCTGTCTTCAATTGTCTGCCACCACGACCGGTTATATTTAACTACTGCACAAAATGAGGAAGACATGGATTTGAGTCATCCCCAGCATCTACACCACATGCCCAATTTTAAAAGAAAGTGAAAACTTAAGTCATCCTCAAGATCTGGGAAACATCAGAGTGACTCAACAACTATCAGAAGGCGTTGGGGATGGGACCAAAGAGTGCTGTGAATTAGCGTTTCCCTGAAAGGTGTGAGAAGTCCCTTACCAGAAAAGTGAAGGATTGGGAGGGCACCCTCAGACCAAGTTTTGCTAATTTTGCCTGCGCTGTTGAAGGACACTAACTCAGCTGAACAATGAGTCCAGCACGTCTGTAACTGAGGTTTGATTCTCTTTCTCTTGAACGTTCCTGGAGAGCAACAGCACGGATTTCAACACCATCCCCACCCAGGCTGAGGCTGCTCCACCCCACTGAACCACCCTGTGCCTCTCAGGGAGGAACCTCTCCTTTGCGCTACCTGGCACGGCCGGCATGCCGCTCGCCTACCCAGCCTAACGCAGGGAGATTTGTGAGGGGATGGCTCAAAGTTTTCTGAAGGCCTCCTCATTTATTTATTTATTTATGGTATTTCACCCTTTAATCAAAATACCCCAACATGATCCAAAGGAGAAATGGAAACAAGCCCTGTGATAAGGGGAGACGTTGGCTTTCCAAGGCCTGTCTTTGAGATATCCCAGCACAATAAGGCAATAAGCTGACCCTGCTTCACCTGGCTTTTACAGGGCCTGGCAGGTAAGTCCAAGGAACCAATATGGATCTTTCCTTTACAAAAAAAATCAATAGGCTTTGGTGGTGTTTAACCATACTTCTTTGCTTCCTGCCGTGCTGAATTACACCTACGCTTGCTTTAAATAGAGAGTAAAGCTAACCAGCTCACCCTCCTCTCCTGCCTGATGGCAGTTAAGAGAAGGCATTTTCCTTCCTCGTCCTCCCAGCCTGGAAAGTCAAGGAGAAGGACAGAGGCTTTGCTCCAAACGTCCCTCTTCCTTCCTCACTAAAATCCCTTTGCCAGGACAGATGCTGGGGAAGGAAAGGAGCTTACACTTTTGCTGTTACATCTGGGAACGCACAGAAAATATGTCCTTCCCACCAATACGTATTTTAAAATAAATGAATATAAAAATATATGAAGATTTGTTAATTTAGACCTACCAATGAAGTCGATGGCTTCCTGGAAGTGTGAGCTGATGTCCGCCATGTGACTATCCTCCACTGGGATCCACTTGTAGCAATACTGGTCTTTGAAGGACTCAGAGCTTTTCCTGGAGACGTTGAGCAGTGCTGTGATGTGCAGGTTGGCGAGAAACTCGCACTTGGAAGCATGATAGGCACTACCAAGGTAGAGAAAAGGCAGGATTTCGACGGGACCACCCTGGAAGAGAAGGAGCAGGAACATGTAATTCTTTCTCAGGGGTATTTGAGTCTTGATACCAGAGACACAGAGGCAAGGCAGCCTGCGTGGGTGCCCGCTCCCTCCCTCGCGGGTGATTTTGGACCCCGGTGCTGTGGGCCAGTGAATCACTGTGATGGCAAAGCCCACACAGGAAAAAAGGTTTCGTTTTCTTGTCCACATCTGCGAGGTACGAAGTCAGATCCAGCCCACTCGCGTGCAGGATGTTTCCTGCTTTCTGTAAAGCGCTGCCCCTTGGGACGCAGCCAAAGCGCTTTCATATGTGAGGGCCGTTCCCTCTGAGGCTTTACCGAAACACAGGCAAGGTGGGAAGCTGTGTCCGAGCAGGGAGGAAGAGGAGGACGGAGGAGGAGGCTGCTCTAGCTCAGCCCAGGGCTCTGCCCTTCCACTCCACCTTCCAGAGGTGAAGCGAAGAAAATAAAAAATTAAAAAAAAAAAATCAGAGCAAGGCTCACTGCTCGCAATGGCCCCACGGGGCTCGGGGAGGGGCAGCCCCGTCCCCCTATGCCTCCTGGGGCACAGCACTCGCTGCGTCACCCACCCTGAGGTGTCGTCTCGGTTTCTCCTTCCGCATCACAAGCAAAGGCTGGGTGATGAGACCCCGAAAGAAAAAAAAAAAAAAAGCCACCGCCCGACACGAGGTTTTTGGAGAACGCAGGTAACTTTCCATGATGCACAAGAGCTGCTGGCAGCCTCCGGCTGTGAGAAACCAGCTTTTCACCCCTCCGAGCTGCCTGCCCAGTGGGTCCCACGCACCGGGGACACCCCGGAGCCAGCCGGGGTGGCGGGACGGAACCTGCGGCAGGATGCGCTCCCGGGGGAGCGGAGGGGCATTGCCCGGGGGCTCCCCCAGCACCAGGAAACATGTGCCCCGGCGGAAGCAGCCCGACCGCAGGGTGACATCTTGGAGCACACGTATTGCCTGGGCTGGGCGAGTGCGGGGGTGTGCCGACTTCCCCCGTGGAACCCCCTCTCTCCCTGTCCAGGGACGGTTCTTGAGAGCTGCTGCCTCTTCTCAGAAGTGGCGCCATGGCCCCGGCCCCCTCCGCCAGCCTCAGATCCCTCCCGGGGTCTCAGAGGAGGCATGGGGAAAGCGTGCTCCTTCGTCTGCTGGAAAAATGACACTCCTGGCAGCCTCTCCCCTGCCCGTTTTAAGTCTCCTAAGCTGTGTGATCAAGATGGGTTGCAAATACAGTTTTGGGTCTAGGCAGGGTTTTTTTTCCTCCTTCTGCTGCCAGATTTTGAAGCCAGGAGGAGGCGATGCTGACCAGCAGCAGGCACAGAGCACCTTATTCGACACACAGGCTGCCAGCCTGGGCTGTGACAACTTATTGACAGCCCACGCCAGCACGAGGGCCACCGGCACCCCGCCAGCCTCCAGCAGAGCCAGTTGGTGGGAAGGAGAAGACCCAAGGGCAATGTCACCTGCCACAGCCGTGACACACACCTGGTCATAAGCAGGTTTGTGGTTGGCACTCTGCTTCTCACAGTGGCTGGCGAGGTTTCTCTCCGCCTCGGTCCTCTCCGGGGAAATGAGTTTTCCATCCACGCAGCACTCAGGATATTGCGAGTTAAAGGTTTCATATCCCCCTAGGGAAGGAAGAAAAAAAAAAAAAAAAGACATGAACGTTTGCGCTTCCAAAAAATGGTTTAATTAAAGTGGAGAAGAGAAATGAAGCTTGGGCACTTTGCAATGCAGTGGGATAGTGCCACACGGCAATGGGCACCGGGGGTTAATGAGGAATAATGCTCCCAGGGGAAATGTTTTGATTTTTTTTTTTTTTTTAAAGGCTTCATACCTGCTGACAATTATTAACTTGCCAAAAGCCAGTGGATCCAGATTAAAACTGTTAGCAAATGTAATTCTGTTAAGTCTAGCAACCATTAACTCCAGTACAGCGGGAACTAAACTCCCTCCCCCAGGTTTTATATGAGTGCTATTACCAGCATTCAAGATGGAGATTTCTGTACCCGGTAGTCATCCTCTCTGAATCTGTTATTACTATATATGCTGTGACAACATTAGAAATGTTTTATTTGCAATTTTGAATGGACATAAGCGCAAGAGGGGGATGCTTGCAACTGTGTCATTAATCACCACAATGCACAAGACAGCGAGGCAATGAAGACAGTCCCACTGAAACCAATCTATTAAATAACAGCTATAAAACTTAATGAAATCCTGTGACAGCATTTGACAACTGAATAGCCCCATATGAGCTATTCTGCATGGTTAAGTACTGCATTCGTTTCATTCAGTGCACTGCTAATGAAAAGGAATTAATCCTATTATTACATTGTTACTCAAAGTTTGTCGTCAGCTAAATCGCTGCCTGTTTGCAGGCTGGGAATATGTCGTATGGAAGCACACTATCTCCAAAATGTACACGAATAAGTCAGGTAACAGAAGCAGCCTGGAAATGTCAGTGGTGTGCCACGTGTCTGCCACCTGTGCTTTTTCAGAACCGAAATGAATGGCGAAAGCTCTCAAAACAGCTAGGGTCAATAACCCTTCGGAGTGTGGCCCTCAAGTAAACAAGGCTCAGAAAGCAAACCCTCCGACGCGATTCATTCATCTGCAACTGTTCCGTTCTGATAAGCGGTGCCGGTGTGGGTGCCCCAGCGTGCAAGGAAGGGTTTCAAAACAAAGGAAGCGCTGAAGATCCGAGCAGCCACAGGGCCCCCGCCACCCTCGCTGACAGGGCTGCCGGGTACGGCTACCTCTGACATTTCAGCCCTGTCACACCGGTGTCTCATTTGTTTGCAATGTTTGAGCAGATGTGTGCTCAAATTCATGACGCGCTACTGTAGCCCACTCAGTCCTGCCGTGGGGTCCTCATGTTGCAAGCGGATGGCAAGATCCAAAGCCCACTGAACGGGATGAAAGTCTATTTTCCATGATGGAGGGCAGGAAGGTGACTTTGCAGCCAACTGGGACTCAGCAACTGCACCTTTCCTCCTACTCCCCAGCCACATTCAGCCAGCTTGCCCCAGAGCTCAGAGCGTGAGGCAGTGGGTCAAGCAGCCAAGTGACCATGGAGACCATAAAGGGTGTGTGCGTGTATGATAAAATGATATCCACAACAAGGGGGTTGATAAAATGATATCCCTAACAACTGGCAGTGTGAAAAACCAACACACAAAGCAGCTCTCCAGAATCCTCTGCTCTCCTGATCTCCAACTGCCCTTCACGAAGCAGACTTTTAAATCCTCTGTTTTGCATAGCTGACCTTATCTCCCCCTTGCCCCCCAACCACTGCCATCACATAGGAAAAATATGTCCAGTTTATATAAATAGCCATTATCCCCATTTACGCCCTGTGTTGTTGTTTTTACTCTTGAATGAACACAGAAATCTGCCCGAGCCAAATCAGCGTGTGTGTTCGAACAGACATGCCATGCGTGTCTCATGTCTCTGGGGCAGCTAACACATGCAGCTGGTGAATGGTTAATTACAAGCCTTGGGGATCAGGATATTTGCAGGCCATTCTTACAGTGAGTCATCTTCTCATCCCATCCTCCAGCAATCTCCTCTCTTCCCCCTCCCCACTCAACCTAGCTTCCCTGAGGTCATTTCTGCAAATACTAGATTGCTCATCAGACAGAGCTGGGCTGTGCTTCGGGTTTTAATCAATAAATAATAGAAACCTTGTCAGCACCAAGGGAGGATCCATTATATTATCTTTCTGCAAGCTCTTCCCCCGCCACACATCCACTCTCACCCTGCTGGGGCCGAGCTCACGCAGAATGAAAATGCATCTACACAGACAAAAGATGTAATACGCTCAGCCTCTGGAAGGCAGAAAGTGAGGGGGTGACAGGGATGAGGGGGGGACCAGGGACAAGGGGGGGACCGGGGCCTGGCGCTCAGCTTGGCATGCAATTGCTCTGCAGTAGCTGCCCTGCCTGGGGCCAGATCGCCAGGGTGCTTGGTGACCAGGTGGGGTGGGGGTGACCTGCTCATATCTTATCACTGCAACTTCCAAGGAGAGACCACCTTAGCCCTTAAGTAGCCAACACCTCCTCCCAGCTCCCCCACTTCTGGGGGGAAGAGGAATATACTCCTCAAGGATTTTTTTCCTGGTGTTTTTACAACCCATTATTTGTGAAGTCTGTTCTACAGACCCCCAAAAGACCATTTCTTCTCATCAGTGCCCAGTGCTTCAGGATTATTTATATCCCCACTGTCACAGAGATCTTCCCCCAAACCACAACCGCTTCCTGGGGGTCCGTGACCCCGGTGAATCAGCAGCGCTGCCCACTGAGTCACCGGTTCCTCGGGCCACACCGGACCCGAAACGGAGCTACAGACTTCAAGGGCCTGATCCTGCAACCCAGAGCACTTCCAGCAAAGCGAAGGGGAACAGCAACAGGAAAAGGAGGAAAGTTTCTCATCCACTAAGGGGGACTCTTTTCAACCTTAAGTCGACAGGCTCTCAAGATAGGAAACTTTGCAATACACAAAAGGTACAAAGCAGAGCCTACATCCAAACCCCACCCCAGATAAACTGCCCACAGTCACCACTTCAAAGCGTGGGGCCGGTACATGAGGAGGGAAGGACGATCTTGTGGCTAAACGAGCAGGCTGAGAGTCAGCAGAGCTTAATTCAGCCCCTGCTTTGCCACAGGCTTCCCAGCGCGACCCTGGAGATGTTTCTTCATCGCTAGTTTAAAGACGTCCCTGAGGATTTGACTGGCCCAGCACTGTGCAAGTATCTCTGCCCTGTAGAGGCAGAATTGGTGCTTTTGGGGCGACTGTCAGACCCCAGGGCAGGCTGGCGGTGCCCAGACAGAGCCAGGGTGGTGGCAAACCCCCCCCGGGAGTCTCCCCTCCCCTTGGTACCGGGCGATAACTCCGGCTGGAGGAGCCTCCACCCCGGCGGGGGTTCCCTCCGGGCACTGTTCTTTACGGGAGGTACAAACTGGGCACATCAGGACAAAAACTAGTGTGCTAAAAGGCTTAATAAAAGTGAAGCCGGTGGGGACACAGAGGCAGAGTTTATTCGAGAAATAGCGCCTGGTTTATCTCCTTCAATTATGGCCTCCCCATGGCCTCAGGATATGGCAAGGGGGGTTGTTTCCGAACTCCCACGGCGGGGCAGTGCCCCGCTTCGAGGGGAGGCGCGGGGGAAGGAGGAGGAGGCTGAGAAAACAGAGAGGGCGAAAGGACAAAGGCGCTGCCAGGAGAAACGGAGGGGAGGAGGGGATGAGAGGGCACAGAAAGGGCGGGCTGTTTTTTTTTTTTTATCGTTTTATTATCCCCGGGTCACACGGAAGGAAAACAAAGAACCGCAATCAAAGGGCTATAATACACGTGGGGGGAGGAGGGATTTCTGTCCCCCGACAAGCCCCAGAGTTTCGGCTACGGGTTTCCCCTGACAGCTTCGGTACGCCCCATGGAGAGATAAACCTCTCCGCCCGGGGTGGAGGAGCGGGCACCGATCCCGGGGTTTCGGGCGCCCAACACGGGCCGCCTCATGTCACCGGGCGGGGAGCGAGCGGCGGTGCCCGCGGCTCCCCGCTTACCCGCGGGACTGATTTCATTTCCCACGCAGCCCCGGACCCTCTCGTCCCCAAATCCTCCATTTGATAACCTGTAACTTTTGTCCTTCTTCCCCTAATATTCTTTGCTTTCCATCAGCCTCTTAAACGCGCGGCGGGGGTGAGCGGAAAGGCATTTGGGCTCAGCCCGCAGAGTCTATCCGGGATTTAGTTCCAGTGGGTGGAAAAGAAACGAAATCCCGGCGTTACCTCCCTGCCCTCCACCCATAATCAGGTTAACTCGCGGAAGAGAGGGGACAGGAGCACGACGGGGCCGCCACCACCCCGAGGGGGGGTGGGGTGTTGAGGGTCGACCTGCGCCCCTCCTCCCATCCCCTATCCCATCCCCTCCCCCCTTTCCCCGCCACCTCTCTCACCTTTCAGGAAGCAGACCCTGGCCCCGGCCTCCGGCAGGCTGGAGAGCAGAGCGTTGAGGACGATCTGGGCCGTGCTGTCCTTCTTCAGCTTCTGCCAGTGCCCCGTGCCCTGGTCCAGCACCACCACGGCGGCCAGGCGGGCGCTCCCC